TGATTCAAGTTTATGATCAAAAAATGGCACTAGGATTTTAATATCATTTGATGTTAAATAATTAAGTTAGAAAACAAATGCTAATATCATAAACCATCATATGCACGATATGCAATATATAGTTACATTCAATAATAAATATCTTATGGAATTCATACAACTGAAGCCCACACAAGAATAAGGAAGCTGCCAAAATAGTATCATATCCAGTTGGCTTAGTCAGCAAGAAACCAACTGGTCCACAGATGCTCTTTTTTCTATGAGAAAATATCCTCTTTTGCAAGTCTCTTGTCTGCAAAATGTTTCATATGAACTCTTCTCCTCCTGCAGGCTGTAAATAATTTATTGATCAAACCTTTTTATTTGTAGCAGATGGAAAATTCAGTACAAATTTAAAAACAAAAAAGGGGAAGATTAGAAGCTGAGGTGAATAATTGCATTATAGTGTGCTAACTTGTAAAAAATGCCTTAAGGCAAGGGAATCAAGGGACACCCAGACGGATTTGGAGGCCTTTTCTCTGGCACAGACAAGAACTGGAAAAGAAGTTGTTTTGAGAATTGAGAGTTGAGAGTGCTTGTTCATCATATGTAAGGATATGAACAGAAATAATGAGGTTATGACAAGATGTTCACCTGTATCCAGCGTTCCCTTTCTATCCACTTCCACTGTCCTTTATTCATGCAGCTGCCTACCTGAGGTGCAGCCAGTGTCACTGTAACATAGAGTAGGTGCTCTGTTTCTGCAGCATGTGTCCTTTTTTTCCCTCTGTTATTACATTTGCACAGAAACACATATATATTTTGGCAAGAAAATTATAAGACATCAAAACAAAAAACAAACAAACAAACAAAAACCAACAAAAAAACCCACCTGGTATGGTTCCAATTCCTTTTCTTTAAGAACATGCAGACTTTTGATACCTTAGGTTTAGCAAACTTCACCAACTGTTGTTAATTGACTATAGAACATAATTTGCGTTCCTGCACTTTGTATCTTACATAAGGTCACAGAGGGAACAAAGACCCTATTCCTGTATGTATTAAAAGAATGGCTCTCAAAATGTTTTTGTCACTTGCAAAGAAACAGTGATACCATTTGTATAATGGGGAAAAGTCTCATAATATGTCAAATAACACAGTTGGTACTGTAGCAACAAGAAATTTTGTTACTTTGATTATACATTTCTATTTATAACATATCATTTACCATTAGATAACTATGTATGTACATGTGATGATGGTGTGACAACAGCTCCTCCTGTAATGCAATGACCCAGACCAAATAAGCTGAATTTTATTCAATTAAAGTTTAAAGCATATCAAAGCAAACATATATAAAGCAATTTTTAAGCTCCATAATGCTGTGATTTCACATTCATTTGAATAGTGTTCTATAAAAACACCATCAGATAATGGATCTATTTCTGATAGGGTGACAATATAAGAGTTAATAGCACAGATGTGCCAGGACAGTATCATACAGGGGAGGAAAGAAGAATTACACTAATTTCATTAATAGGAAGAAGTGAGAAGTGTTTGGTTAAGAATTACTGCAAGAACTCTTTCTTTTGAGAGTTATCTGGACTGAACTGTGTTGGATCCTGGAAGCTGGCCTGATCTTTATTGATGAAATACTGCTGACTGATTGAGTGTAAACCAAGGAGGGGAGGGCATGTTAGTTGTTCTGTTTTCTGTGAATGTCTAAATATTCCTGTTTCTGTAATCTTCAGGTAAATTAAGAAAAGAAGAATTTTGCCATCACTTTCAGAACACTGCTTTGTGCAAGCCAATGTGCCTTTGTAATTGAAGCCATGTGTCAGGGTTGGATTACAAATTTTTCTTCTTATACTGAGGGATGCACCTGCTATCTGGAGTTTGTCTCTTAAAATGTGTTTTGGTAGAGAATAATATCAAGTATAAAGGTGATGTAATTACGATAGGATTATTGGTTTAAAAGTTAATTGAAAACATTGCTTTAGACAGCATTAGAAAACATTGCATAGACAACACAAAGTTATCTCCAAGCCAAAAATTTCACGTTCCTTACCATTAAAAAAAAAAAAAATAATTCTCAGACCAAAGAGATCAGATGTTTCTATGCATCCAGCTGCTCCCCACCCTGACTTGCCTATTTTATATTTCCCAGTAGGCATTTAAAATCTGTAGCATCACTGTTGAGTTTATTGCACTATTAACTTAAAAACTGCATCAACTGTTGTGTGGTATTTAAGTAGAAAATTTACTGTGGATGGGCTATTGTTGCAGGAAAAGAGTACTATTCTCTGCTAAAATTCTAGGAGATATAAATGCAATCTCATTTATTTTTTGTAAAGAAATTATTAATGATTTTTTTCAATTCACGAGATATTTACATGGCTTCCACCCATAAATGGCCTCCCCAATAAATTGAAAAATGAAGGAATTAACATTGAACATACAATATTTTGAGCATAACTGGGCATTTAGACAGAGTCATATAAATAAAAGTTGCTGGCTTAAGAATGAGAAAATATTGTTACAGCTGTAGAGGCACATACTTGCAAGTATTTCAGCAGGAATATACCTAGTACCAAGTTCAACACATTTTGTTGACTTAGTTTAGTTTAATTTAATGCTTTTGCCTTATTTTAGTTTTACTACTTTGTTACTGTATAAGAGAACATCTACTAATATACTTCTGCACAATTTCATTCACAGTGTGGTCTTAATTGGGACTATTAAGACACAGACTTCAGAAAAATTAATGGAAAAGGAATATTCCTATGAGAAGTAGTTTTGATGTACAGTCTCTTATGGAGTACACGTGTGATGTTTTTTAAATATATGGTCAGCCATGCTAGATAAACAGAAGAAAGATACATGGAAATATGCCATATTCCATAACCCATATTTTTATTTGGCATTTGAAATCTGTTTGAATGACAACAGGGAATGAAACCATGGCTTTCTGCAGAAGCTGACTCCAAAAATGGCAGTAGACAAGGAACCATAAAATTATCATCTTTGAGAACCAAACTAAAAAAGTTTTCATCTAAAATATTCTATAGTGTTACGTTTCACACACTCATCAATAAATGCAGAAAGATTTAAAAATTTATTACTTTTTTTCTGATATGATCCAAAGAAATGTTGATTTATTCAAGCACAATAGATGTTTTTTCACCTGCAACAGCAGGAAAAATATAAGGAAGAGCAAAGCCCATGTAACAAGATCATGCAGCATTAGCAGTACATGTAGAAATACTCTTAATGAAACAATAGCTTTGGTGTTCTTTTCCCTTTCCATAATCTTCCAGCAGTGTTCCTGGGATAATCATTATAGTCTAATCTTTGTCCTCTGCAGGTACAGTACCTGCCTTTCAAAGTCTCCCACTAATCTATGTTGTGACGCAAAGGGCACAACACAGTCCTGCAGTGCCACCCTGAATAATTATTTGTTTGGCATTTCTTTTTGTACTCAAGGGGAGTGCCAGGCTTTGAAGTCTCATAAAGTTTTGTACTTATTTTATGTTTTCAAGAGTGATCACAGGCTTGGCTAGGTGCCCTGAGAAAACAGGTCTCTGGAGCAACACCCAAGTGGTTGTACTTCAAACCTGAGCTAGTACAGCTTTACAGAAATAAATACCTGTGTTGCATAACACTTGAAATGTATTTCAGGGATTTTTTCCTTTTATGAACAGATATGACATGCCTTTAAAGGTCATTATTAATTTTTCCAGAGTCCCAGATGGAATGTGCCTCAGCCTTCTTTCATTCTCTCTTCACCTTCTGATGGCTTTTATAACACTTCTTTAGAAACAGCCTAGTAAATATATTGAAGTACAGTAAGTAGTGAGGAAAATGAATGTTGCCCTGGTTAAACAGAACGTTCACACAGAATAGTTTTGGGAATTGGAACTCTTGACCTGTTGAACTTATGGAAGGTAAACATTACTAGTTATTATTAGTGTGGGTGTGATTTATTGTTCATCACCATCACAGCTAACAGAGCTACCTCCAGGATAAGGTACTGTACAATCATGCCATCCCTGCACAAGGTGTAAGCATTGGGTATGATATACTTTCTATGAGACCCTCTGAACTTGGTGTTGAGGATGTGAGTCATGTGATATTCTGCTTCAGAATGTCCCCTGAAGTGGTCACTTCACCTCTGGATCCTGCAGACAACGCTCTGTGAGACCCTAGCACTATAACAGTAATAGTGACCTCATGGCTCATGCTGCACTTCTCTTTCTGTAGAGACAAGCCATATTGTATGTGGGGAAATGTGTGCATGTGTCCTGCTTAGAGATTGGCAAAATACTGGTATCAAGCAGCACTAGGCACTAAAAGTTTCCTCAGTACCAACATCAGCTGTCAGCAGTGCACAGGCATTTCAAGTTCAACACTGATGCCCTCCCCTGCCCTGTTCAACCTGCTGCAGGTGGACTTGTTGTAACCCTGCCTTCATGTACTCCTCCAATTCCTGGTCACATACCTGCTAGTATTTTTCCTTTCTCAGCAAAACTTTGGTGAATTTGCTGAGCTTAATCTGAGACTGCAGGAAGGCACTAATGGAAGCCTTTTTCTGGGCCAAAATCTCTTTGGTCCAAAATCACTTTGGTCCAGCTGGCTCCTGAAGAGATAACATTACCAAGGTAATGGGGTAAGTGTAGGAGAAAATACTGCCCCACCTTACACAAAATCCCCTGAATTTCTCTTTTCTAAAACTTTAATAGAAACATGATGGTACTATAATTCTGTTATTTTTGGCATCTGCCTCATGTAAGATTTCACATTATTGCCACCAGAAACTTTCCCTCCTTGTTATATATCCTGGGTCAGCAGTGGACCATGCAGGCACAACCCAGCAGCAAACAACTGCTTTTATATCAATAGCAACAGTCTACAGCTAAGCTCTAAGTAACATTTAGCTGAAATCTGAACTAGACTTGAATCCTAAATTCTGGTCTTCCAAACTAGAAACTGAAAAAAAAAAAAAAAAAAACAAAAAGGAAAAATGCAATTCAGAAAATATTTTATTGAGTAAATACCATTTCATTGTAGGCTTTATAAAACACCACCAACCTCTCTGAGGTTGAATACAGCTTGGGCAGGTGCACAAGGAGTGGGAGAGAGGTGGACAGCGTCTGCAAATTTTCATGCAAGAGGCATAATATGGGATATCTACATCCAGACAATACCTTGTCATAGTGCCCAAGTTTGCACTAGGTCACCAGAAAAAAATGAATCAATCTACATTTAAGTTTCATAAAGGATTGTAACAATCAGCTACAAGTTCAAATTTACGGGGTGTTGCCATTGCACATTCAACAACTAAACTCAAGATCATGAAATAAAAATCAGTAGCTTGGATTTAAAGTACTGTAAGAAGCCTTGTGTGGAAACTGGATTAACTCTAAGTCCAGAAACTGATGGTTAACAAGACATCATAACCACTGCAGATAAGGACAGCTGCAGTCTTTATCAATGTACTAACTGCCATTTTTAGCAGCTGGAAAACAAGGCAAGTTCCTGGAATTTGGGTTAATCTCACAACACACATCTAATCAAGACCTGGCATCACAGTTCTTGGAAGGAAATTAAACAAACAGTAGTCCATAAGCAATTTTAAGTTGCATGAAGCAACTGAAAACTCACAGAAAGCAGCCTTAAGTAGGGGAGAAATGTGGTAATATTTATATGAATGAAGTTGCTGCTTACTGGAATGTAGACCAACTAATTTTTCTGGTGTGTTTATTTTCAGTGATGGTAAAGCGTAAATGTGCTATGAAATGTAGGAACAGTAAAAAGCAGCCTTGAATAAGTCTCTATATTGCTTAAATTCTCGCAACCATACCTCGTTATGAAGTATGCATACATTCAGAGACTGAAAGTTTTCAGGTTGACCATATTTCTACAGCTACCTGTATTTTATGAGCTGGGCCCCACAGAATCTTTAAAAATCTGCCAGGAAACCTGCACTGTACTGCCAAAGAATTGAGGAGCACTTGTTATAACAGTGAATATGAATGTTAAATACAGCAGTTAATATACCAAATTACACAGATACTTCCATTGTCCTTTGGGTGTGTGTTTCCCAGCATGTGTTAAGTACCACCACTTGACAGGAAATAATTTCATAAAGCAGGATTGAACAATTTGTTAACTGCAAGAGTATTTTCAAATTGAAAAGAAATTATTAATTCAAACTTTAAACTAAGAAAACTGGAAAGGTAAAATTTAGCATATTCATTAGCAATTAGAGAAAATAGTCCAGGAAGGCCAAAGTAGTCAAATAATTCAGAAATGTTGTCGAAATTAATTTCCTATTTATTAAAAAGACAACACATTCTCAAGAGAGCACCTTCTGCAATGAAATAATTTAGTTTCTTCATATAGACACATCATACACAATGTTAACAACCATGAAAAACAATACAAAATGCTTTCAAATTTAACAAGTAGAAAAATATAACTAGTATATATGGCAATTGTGAATCTAATACTGTACAGAAGTATTTATGGATTTTACAAATAAATAATAGCTTAAATGCCCTTTTTAAGTCTTCTAACTGTACACTGGAACTTAGGTTCTGAAGCTTACCACTAACTTGCCACAAATGTGTGCCAGTGAAATGTTCTGCCCACAAGCTCAAAAAACTTCTTGTTGGGTTCATGGAAATGTTCCTGCAGTTTCTCAAGTAACCAGGTATCTACTTGTGGGTGCGCTCGTCCTTTGGACTCATGTAAACAGCGCTCTCTGCCACTGTCCCTCAGGCAGTAGAATCCCTTAGTTTTATTGAAATAAAAGTTTGAAGCATTTATCTGTGGTGATAGCTTCAGAAATCTCTCCACCTTTTCTATTTCTGGAAAGGGATCTTTGATTAGTTTATCCCCATCTACAATGTGGATATGATCAAGAGGAAAATACTTCAGCCAGTTCTGCATGTGAATGTAGTATAAGCTTCTGTTTATTGCCTTGTAGTCCACATTGAGTTCACCATTTTTTATCAGGAATTGCTCAATGGATGGGTACGGCTTGTGCTTCTGCATGTGGTTGTAGAACACTTGGGTATAATCTGATAGTACTCTTTCGCTTGGGTCTCTTAAAATAAGGAGTAGTCTCATGGATTGGTTCATGTTATAAACTCTTTCAGGCACTTTAGGTGATGTGAAATATGCTGGAGTTTTTTCCACGGTGATCTGATGGGGATACGAGAATGGCATTTGATTAATATACCACTGCAATCCATTCCTGTAATGATCTTCCCAGTCAAAGAAGTGAACTTCATTTTCTGCTGCTGCAATATCTGGATGGAGACTCAACATCTCTAACAAAGCTCTTGTTCCACCTTTTCTCACTCCAATAATAATAGTCTGTGGCAGTTGCTGACATGATCCATTAGAATGAATGTTTTCCTTGAAGTCATTTTTCTGAGACATTTTCTTTAAAAGCTCTCTCTGAACAGACTGAGAAGAAGTCTCAGCATTTGAATTTATAGCTGGTCTGGAAGGCACTATCTGAGGTTGAACAATAAGCAACACAGCTCCCAGCAGAAAAGCTGCCATGACAGAAGTTCTTAGTCTGCTTTCACTCAAGCGGGTAATAGGGCATAGAGCGATTTCCACCAAGAACAACACTTAAAAGTGGTTTTTGTTTTGCTGAGCGGATGTGTATTTCTCAAGCAAAAACTTTGCTGAAAGAGGGAAAAGAAAAAGCACATTATCTTATATTCAGCCACACTGCAAATATAATTTTATTTTCAAAACTGAACAAACTTTATCTTTCCCAACTCCAGGCTCATAGATATTTTATTGTAATTTAATATTTTAAAAGACAGACATATGCAACAATGCCATAAGAAACTTATTTCCAGTGATCAGGAGACATGAATACTATAAATCTTTCATTTGCACGTGGAGTATTATTAGTTTTTTTTTTTTTAATCTGATTTCCTTGGAGTTGAACCACAATCACAAGACAATTGATTTTTTTAATCAACAAGAACATGTTTGTCTTAGAAACAAAACATGAAAAGGTGTAGAGGGGATCAGAAGAGCATGCCTAAAAGCTGAGGGTCTTGTAGGATGTCTGGGAATTACAGCCTCTCAAAGAACTATGTAACAGCAACCTTAGAAATCAAGCCTCCTGGGAAAAAGGCTCATGCAATGTAGATAGAGCTGTCCAACATGAGAAGATAACATTCTCCTAGGAACAAATTAGGAAGAGCTCTAGGTAAATAGCACATCAATTTGTGTGTGAATTTTGTGTCATTTTTAGAGTGAAGCTAACTCTTGCTTTGTGCTTACTGTTTCTAAGGATAAAATAGGTGGCTTGAATGCTGGCCCTGAAAAGAGGTAAGATAATGAAACCATAGACTATAGTATGACTGAATCAACAAAACACCAGAAGACCCGTGGTTCCCGTCTCCATACTCAGGAAAGAAAATACACAATGGGCACTTCTGAAGGTCATTTCAAGAGTTAGCCAGCAAGCTGTTGTGATGTAAAGAACTAAGTTTAGGCTTTATGAAAAGACTACTAAATACCACCACTGAACACCCTTTAAAGGTCAGGGTATTTTTAATGCAATGTTTGAAGTGAAATTGTAATGGTTTCACATGTAGTAGAGCTATTAGATTGTTGCAGTATGAGCAGGCTGTGCACACAAACTCCCTGAATTACAATGTCTTCCAAAGACTTTATACCCTCAGTGAAGGGCTGATGTAGCTTTCAGTACTGTCTGACTCCACTCAGAAGTAGAAGCCATGACAGCTGAGTACCTGACTGCTTTGCCTTAGTAGGCTACTAAAATTATGAATTTAAGCCTGGAACAGCACATACTGTGCCAGCTAACAAGGGTTGAAATACAAAATTACATATGAACAACCTGAGGAAATGCAAGGGCTAGGTTTTGGAAATTCTCCAGAGAATGTGAAAAGAAACTAATGACTTTTCCACAATAAACTAAGTCCCAGTGCAACAAGGACTAATGATGTGTTTCTAAGCAATCTAAAGTTCTGTTTGATAGCTTTGCATTTACAGAGGTCGTGACTTCACCCTGAACAGAACAGCTCTGCTTCCTGATGTTTTCTACTGATTATCACTTCGTTGATTTCCCTTTTTCCATTTTTAACAGGCTACAAGGCAGCAATATAGTTAGGAAGCAGAAATCGAGGCTGGGAAGAAAGAGAAGCAAAGTGTTATGATAAATATGAAGTAAAGAGAGTGCTTCCTTGTATGCTCAGAGGCTTTGAGCTTGTGGCCATACCTTGTCTCAGGCTATTCTATGATGTCTGATGTAAGGCAAGTTTACAGAGGTATTTGGGGTTTTCCATTTTTGGCCACTGTTAATTTTTCTCTGTCTGGAAGAGTTCCATCTCATCTGTTGTCACTAGTCTTCTGCTCTCCCTGTCCCCACCATTCCTCCTAATCTTTCTTAGCTTAATCTATATCACTTTTAACAATAAATAGCATTAATAGCCCACAGTGTGGATGTTGATAGGGGAAGGCACTGGGTGACAGCAAATTCGATATAGGTGAATTCACTGAGCTACGCTGCCACAATATTCAGCAGCAATGGGAGCACAGGATACAGCACCAGCCAGATTGGATCAGTGACTGATGGGCAGCTCAGTACATAAGAACAACAAAACATCAACTCTGTTGAATTTTAAGGTCACAGATTAAAGGAATAGCCACTTACTTCACAGTATATTTCAAGTCACTGGCTCCATAAATAGTAAGCCAGAGTAGTTGTCTTAACACCTTATTGGAAAAGCATAATAGGATTCTGGCGAGGAACAGGCTGAACTGTGTGGAAAGAAGTGAATTTAAAGCCTGATAGGAACAATTATTTCTTAATAGTCAGGTTGCAATATGCTATGCTAAAAGCAAAGTTCTGTAATAGACTGTCTCTTGAAAGATTAAATTTTAGCTGCTGGTCTCATAGTGACAACACACTGCTGGATGGGTGGGGGGTGTTTTTTTTTTTTTTCTGCTGTTTTTGGGGGATTTTTAGGGTGCTTTGTTTTCTCTTTGAAAAATAAAATCAATGCTATATATTCATTCATTGGGATTCTTAATTTGCAACTCATAGTTTGCACACTAGTCAGTTGCCAGCTTTTTTATTCAAGCCATCCTGTGGCTGAATTTAGCATAGGAACTTTTTAGAAAAAAGACCTAGCAAGGTGTTTTTCATTCTATATGTGGGACATTACAGATGTGGTACCAGGGGTCCCATTTCAGGCAGGTTTTTGAGCCTCAGTGGAGCTCTGCCTCAGTGTCTTCCCATTGTTAAAGACTTCAGTGGGGCAGCTTTTTCTAAATACACAAAAGCAACTGTTTCCTGTTCCAGTATGAAATCTCATTATAACATAGGAATATCTTTTGTTTCAGACATACAGAATTTCATTATTTCTCCTCAGCTATTTGTTCAGGAGCACATCCTCCACTGCAGAACACCTCTACTATATCAGTAGCATTTATCTTATGCATGTCCAAAAAAACATATCAGTAACTATGTCATTCAGAGTACATGTGCTATTGTTGTTTTGTTTGCAAGCAATAAAGCTTTGTCTGTCTTTTATTTCCATTCTATTTTATTCTCCCAAACTGTATAGGCCTGATACCTGGATCAATTATTTTGTTTTGCTAGACAAATGGAACACAATGGACACAACTGTGCCTCTAAATTCAGCATAAAATACACAATGTGTGAGAAGAGTGGTCTTCAGGAATAAAGCAGCATATAAATTAGCTGTCATTCAGCTCTTATGTCCTACATTCTCTTTAATGCATTAGGTCGATCTGTAGTTTGGTGTCTAGAATTACAGTGGTTTATATACAAACATGTATTCCATAGCTTTATAATTTGTGGGTCTGAAAAACTCTTTCAACAATAAGAAGCATTCACTGAGGAGTTTAAAGCAGGAACTTTGCCAGGATACTTTTCTGCTGTAAGAATTCTCTTCACTGCATCCACAAGTCATGCAGAGCATACATGACTTCACTTGATGACTCTGTTTTCCTGATTACTTAAAAAAATTTAACTGACAGCCATTACTTTTGTATTTGCTACAAGTAAATGAGCAAGTTGTAAAAGAAACACAGTTTATGTTAAATGGTGCTTTGAAGATTATACCAAGACTTTTCAAAAACTCTGATTGCTTTTGCTTAATCTTTTCTTCAGCTTTCTCCAATTAATTAGTGAAATGTGCCACCCTGTTTATTTAACCAGATTCAGTGTGGACTTTATTATTAAAACCTCTTCAACAGTAATAGTAACTTGGAAATAAACAGAAAATTTAATCAGTAAATGCAGAATGAGGACCAGAGGCTGTCATATGTCATTGACTTTTAAGCATGTTTCAGTACTCTTTGAAACATGTATTACTATTTTGTAATTTCTAATATTTCTTAGCATTTTACAAAGGTATTTTAATGCTTCTGTACGTGTGTCATCAGTGACATTGCCTAAACCATCTGGTTATATAGACTTCTTAGATTAAAATGCATGAACAAAATAAGGTAGTTTCCTCCTGGACTGGTAACTTCATTTTTGCTGGGAATTGGATAGGGCTAGATTTAGCTCTGAACTTTCATAAGAAGCTCTGGGTTGGCTGCCCAAGTGGGTAGGAAGAGGCACAAGGAATGTCTGCAGGGCAGCCAGTAACCATCAGGCAGAGTCTGCTGGTAGATTTGACAGGGACCTACCTCACAAAAAAAGCCCACAGCAACACACTGAGAGGTTCAGCAGAGCTCATGGGACCCACTTACTACCAGGACAGTCACTAGGAGAGGTAAGACAACATCCTCTCCATAAGCATCACCTTCATTAAAGAGAAGTTGTGTTTTCCTGGTTCTTTAGGCACTGTGGACAAACAGGTTAAGTTTCAGATGGCCTCACTTTATTTCCTTGCAGAACTGAATCCCTTCACTGGAGAGATCTCTCCACAGTCATCTAAAAATACAGTCTGGACTGGATGAAAACTATACTTCACTTGCTGAAGTTTGTCTGTAGAGGGAGATTAGAGCTGAAAACCTGAGTGAGACATTCTGTTCTTAAAGAATACTTGGTTTTGCTGATGTGATAGAACCTCAGGACAGTTTGTGGACTGTATTTTCCCTTGCACATATTTGGGCACAAAGTATTGCAAAATATAAGACTAACATTGCTGGTTAAACCAAGCTGTACAGTACAACCCACACATCTGCTATGCTGGCTTCTTCTCTTGGTAAAAAAATTCCCCTGAGATAACCAACTTCCTAAACTGACAAAGACTCAGTGTTCTGAACATTTTGATTCAGCGATGTGCTTTAAAAAAACTGAACTCGAACAATTGCGGTGTACTTGAAATCCTTCAAGAACTCATTGATATGAACAGTATATTTCTATCCTCTAATGGAAGACTCTGTCCACCACAAGAAATATTGCTTAGTTGTTTACATTAGCTCAAGTGCCACTTTGTACCCTGATAACATAAAAATTCCCAGTACAGCTATCACTTAAAGCTCAGCCAAGATCAGGAAAGGAAAGGGAGCAGGTGGTGGTTTTTTTTTTGGGTTTTTTTTTTTTTTAATTATTTAATTCAATTTATGAAATGTGTTTTTTCTTGAAAAGATATTCTGCATTTTTTAATTTTTATCTATTAAACTGTATCACAATGCCCTCTCCATTAAGAAATTCTTCCTATACTTCCCACTGCATACGCTTGTGGTTTTTAATCCCATTTTAACAAAAGTTTTAAACAACACTTGGCAATGAAATGCTTGAATTCTAGTTTCCAGTAATTAACTACAAACACTTTCCTACATTAGTGAGTGCTACAGAGACAAGTGCAATAAAGGAAATAGAACTACATACTACTGAAGGTCTCTAAAACCATAAACTATTGATCACCCCATGATATATCAAAAAAGTCATTTGCATATTAAGAAGGGACATGAAACTACATGCAACTGTATAAAACCTGTCTTACAGTGCCTAGATGATATGTACTTTGCCCAATTATATTAAAACTGCTGCACAACCAGCAAAGATTAAACCACGGCTTTAACTTTTATAGTCAGATGTTAAGAAATCTAATAATTTCAGTGCTGTTAAGATGAGATACTGTCTATCAGCACTAAAACTTCAGAAATACACTTTAAAAGGTTGATAAATTTTCAGAAGGGGAACTTCACAAAATGAGAAAGGCTGACTTGGTAGGAAGTATTTTTGGCTGAAATCTGCTGTATTTCTGCACCTGCTGTGATAAATACAGTTTATGCAAATTAGATAGGCCACCAGTTCATGACTTCTAAAGGAGTTCAGCTCCAGTGTGAGCAGTAAAGTAGCAAATTTACAATAGACTGTGGTTATATATAACATGCACTCTTTCTTAAGGTCAGAAGGGACCATTCCAGTCTTTCATGGCAAGAGATCATAAAAATTGTTAGAGAGAAAATACTCCAGATTTCAGAGAACCTCATGGAGATAAAAAAAATATGGGACATTACACCAGAATAAAAATAACTTGTAAAGCTCAGGGTGCAAAAAATTTCTTTTTGTACTGAATAAGTAATATGGAATCCCTTTAACTCCTCCTAGTAATTTTTTTAATACCTGTCAGGATTCAACTTTTTTTTTTGTGAAGAGGGTACACTGTACCACTGCCTTCTCTACCCCCGCATAAACCCAAATGCTCAATTCAAATTCCAGAAATTACTCCCCACCCCACTTTCCAAGCAAAATGGGTCACATTCTAATTAGGAAGCAGAAATCTATTGCACAGTTAATAGAGTTGCTTCCTAATTCATCAAGGCTGTCCCCAAGAAAACAGCCTGTGTGAAAAGATGGCTCTGTCCTGTCTTGCCCCCTTTCAGTACCAAGGCTCACCTTAACTGGATGTATTAAAATAGGGAACACAGGAGACTAAGCAATCCCATTTTCATTTCCTCTGCCAAGCAATTTCTTGCCTCTTACACAGGGATGTGGGCCCTATTTCAAATACTAGTATTTAAAACAAAAATAAAAACAAAATAAACCAAAAAAAATTTCCACATCTCAAAACAGTCATTTAGTTCATAGTCCAAGTAGACTTCTGTGCCTTTCACTCTCCTGCCTTCAGAATAACACTGGAGCAGGGTGAATAGTGGTGAGGTCATCACTGTATTAGACTGAGCTAAACCAATCAATTTACTAAACAAAGCACTACACAGTGACCTGGAGGGAACTCTCATGCTTTGGAGTGACAAATGAGATGGCCAGCAGGATCTCCCATCTTGGTCTGCCTTGGCATATTACCGTTTTGTTTTTCTCATTATCAAAAGTTTTCAGGGAAATCCATCAGCTCTGACATATTTTTGAGCTCTGATATCTTTGAGTTGTGAGTGGCATTTCTAAATGAGGGAAGGGAGAGATCCCAGGTTAGTGAGACTAAGAAAAACATTTTTGATTTCCTCTAATGAAAAGCAGAAAAGTTGTATTTATCTGTACATATATACATGCATTGGAAAGTGTTTTACACCCATTCTGTTTTTCTGTAATGCCTGTGTAAACCTACACCTAGTTCAGAATAACCAAGGTATCCTGACAAGGGGAGGGACACAGGCGGGAACCTGGCAATCCTGAGGCTGGAATGTGCTCTGTCAAATTAGGGTCTCTCCACTGCAACAGCTGGCCTTGCTTCAGATGCATTACCTTCCTGCTAACCTACCAGAAGTAATTTTGGTTATGTAGTATCAAAACGCTCTGCATTTTTGAAAGAGGAGAAAAAAAGAGGGTGGATCCTGAAAGGGTGGATCTGCAAGTGACAGCTGAAGTTGATGTCAGTGACCGTGCTCTTGTTTCTGAGCAATGTGAAAAATTCACTTATTCGAGAGTGTAAGAAATGCTGGCAGATGTAAATTGCAACAGTTATTATATTTATACTTACAAATGAAGCTTGCTAGCCAGAGAATATATAGGCATTCACCAAACTGAATGTGTTCTACTATGTTCCATTTCCCATACATACTGCAGAGGCTCCGTCTCAGTGGGAGTGGGCACTGCATGGACCTCTCATGCCAAAAAGATGCTCCCTGCAGATATTCTTTACCCATGCCATTCGAGCATGATATTCTTAAACTTACAGGTATTTTTTCTTTCCACACCAAAATCCAAAGAGGAACAGTCTTGAAACCGGTAAAGCTCTTAACCCACTGCACTGACACAGAAAGGAAGGAGAACAATGTACTTTAATTCCCAGTCAGCTGAGGTGATTGAACTGCCTGTACTCAGCTGTGTGCCCCATCCTGATCTTTTGAATGTCTGGCTGGCAGACGAGACCAAACCCAAACTCTTCTATCTGAATGCTACCACCCCTCCCTCTCAGCATCCTTTACCCCCAAAAGATTTGAACTGCATACACCTTTATCCTAGGAAAGCACACCGAGAACTGCAGCAACCAAGCCTTTGCTGTACTACTCTAGAGTGCCAGTCCTTCAAAACAGAAACGAGCTCGAATTAAGGCTTTGTGCCCTCCTGCCAAGCCCCAAGGACTATTGCGCCCCAACCCCTACGCAGCTCGCCAGGTTCCACTTCAGCACGCTGCATCCCGCCGGCTCCAGCATTACGTGAAGGAGCAGATCGAAGATGCTCAGCAGAGCTTTTGCAAGTGTTCTCCCGTCAGGCAGGCGCCCCGCTTCCAGAGCCCTGCGCTCTGCCCTTACTTCTGCTTGTCATTTTACCACAAGAGAAAGAAGACGAAGTAAGCGCCCGGCAGCCGCACCTGCCAGGTGCTGCCGAACACTTTGCCATCCCCCCCGCTTTCTCTCCTACCCCGCCTCCCGGCAGCGCTGCCTCCCAGAGCCCGGCTCGGTGGCCCCGGAGCGCTGAGGCAGCGCCGCGCGTCCCTGCCGAGGCTGGGGGCAGCTCTGGGTACCGCCGGGCCGGGCAGGCGCTCCGCAGCCCCACAGCGGCGCTCGCCCGCCGCGGCCGCGGGGCTCCCACCTGCCGGCAGCAGGTGCCGGGCGGGCGGCGGCGCCGGCGCACCCCGGGGGCGGCAGAGCCCATCCACGATCGCCGGCACCTTCGCCCGTCCCGAACTTCCCACGCTGCCAGGGCAGCACCCGGCGCGCCGCTCCCCTCCGAGGCACCGCGTCACTCACCGCCGGGGCGCGGAGCCGGGGGGCAGCGCTCGCCCCGCTCTTCCATGGGCGCCCGCGGGCGGCGGCGGCGGCGTCCGGGGCAGCGCGCCCGGCGGCGGCGTGCGGGGGCTGCGAGCGCCCGCTGTCGCCCGCTGTCGCCCGCCTCGCCCGGCCGGCAGCGCCGCAGCCCGAGCCTGGCGCCGGCTCGTTTGTAGCGCCCCGCCCGCCCCGCGTCACGGACAAGCCCCGCCCGGCCCCGGGCGGCGAGCGGCGGCGCCGGGTGCGGAGCGCGGCCGCTCCGCCTGGGTGTGTGTGCCCGCCAGCAGCGGGGTTTGCCCGAGTCATGCTACAGCTCCGGGGAAACGAATGGCTCCGCGCAGCGAGCGCACCTGCCCCCGCCTCCGTAAGAGCTGGAGTTGGAAGGGACGCGCAAGCATCAAGGAGTCCAAGTCCTTCAATTGCCTCCTTCCTGTACTTGTAAAAATACCACGCGCGCAAGGTTGCATGAATAACAGACTTGCAGTACTTGTATTTACTACTTCTTGTTTACTTTCTTGGGACTTTACGAAATGGCTCTGATTTTTTTTTTCTTTTTTTTTTTTCCTCCTGAAATGCTTTCTGTCCAGCCAGATGGATTTGAAGCAGGATGGCTGTCTGGGATGACTGAAATACTGCTCCTTAAGAGCCGTGGGGAAAACACCTTCTGGGGATTTAAGTCCTAAGGTTAATTTAGTGAAATAGATCTTTATTTACCATGAACTGAACTGTGGTTTTTTTTTAGACAAAATGAGTTAAAACTGGCATTAACATACTACATCCATTATTTCAACAGCCAAACTCTTGAAATTTACTGTGAGCAAAATACTAAATTCTGAGTTGATTTTGGTCAATTCCTTGTAGTTTAACAGCTCTGACACAGGTAGAGTGTTCCCAAAGAAAGTCTGTTAGCACTGGTTGTACACAGGTCTTAGGTTTTTTGCCTGAAATGATGTAGTTCAGATAATTCTGCCAGGACTCTGGGGTGTATCTCATCAGGTTCCGCAAAGTTGTGTATGCTCAGGTTCTTCAAGTGGTCCCAAATGTGATCTGTACTTACAGTGGGAGGTACTTTGTTCCCCCAGTCCCCATCCTGCTGTCCATCCATGATGGAAGTCTGAGAAGAGTGGTTGCCATTGAAGGCTGAGGCAAAAAAGGGGTTTGGTACCTCAGTCTCCTCATCCATGACCAGCGTTGTTTATCAGGTGGTAACAGCTTCCTTGACTCTCTCAGCAGGGTTATATATTCTTCAACCATGGGCTGTGACCAGCTCGCACCTCATTTACTCCTTGAGTGCTGAGCCATGGGAATGTTGGGTCACACTGACTCACTTCACCAAAAACCAATGTAGTGCACGAGTGCAACACACAAATATCCATGTTGTATGTTTTCTTATATCCTTTACCTTCAGCCTTGGCCTGCACTGATAATTTAACAGGAGGCAAAGCTACCAATTATGGAACTCCACTTTCTAGCCACGACTTCTGTTGGGGGAAGCAGAACAAAGATGATATGTTTATTAAAGTATCATCAGCAATTTCAAGTAGATTAGAGGAAGTAGCTGTGTTTGTGAGTTATTTTGTTTACAACCATTTACCTCCAGCCTTGAAATATGTAACAGAACATCTGAGGAGTGAAAAGTGCTCAATTATGTTTTAAAAAGAGTATCTCCATGTAGAATTTTGTTAAAGGTTTTCAAGAAACAAATGTTAAGTACTTAAGGAAAATTAGGATGGTGTAACTATAAATGTATTTTATTGTATGGGTTTTCATATTTAAAATTTAAGATGTTTTCTGTCTTTAAGTGTACTATATCATTGCAGTGTCGTTGCTTTAGCACTAATAGATATGTACAAATACTTACTTTTAATTTTTTAAAACAGAACATTCACAAGACTGTTTACTGAAAAAACCCAAAACAATAATACTGTCTTTTTACTTTGCATTTTTATAGCTTTCTGTATGTTTTATTATAAATCTGAGAGTCTAGTAGAGAAATACATTCATTTGTGATTAGCCCTGCTGTTTAACCTGGATATTTATGTCATGACTGTGGGTTTGGATTGTCTTGGAAACAGGCCAAAACCAAAAATCTTAAATGTTGTTCAGCTGCTATAGACCTGCATAGTTCAGTCATAAGGGATCACTGTTTCTTCCGTGTGATCTATAGATTAGATATCATAATAGTTATTTCATGTTTAATACCCAGTCTTGATATAAAAGAATCAAAAGATGAAAAATTCATAATTTCTTTATTGTTCCAATCATGAACTATCTTTGGTGTCAAAATAATAACAGAAAGCATCTGTATACCTTTTTATCTGAAGGTATCTAAGTGTAACTTCAAGCCACTGCTTTATATTATCACTTTCCCAGGTAGATTAAAGATATGTTTTGCCCAAAAACATACTTTCTTACTCTAATTAGGTCATTTCTCAGTATTCTTTTTCTCTTTTTAATAAGCTAAACAAAGTGATCTCTTGCAGCATCTCACAGAAAGGCTCAAGAAAGTTGAGATTTAATTACTTTTCTTCACTTTTCACAAGGTCTCATCAGTGAGTACAATACTGATGCTTAATATTGACAATAGAAGCATTTTCACAATGCTTTGATAGTGAATCCCAATTGCCAATAAGGTTTCAAGATTTACTGGTTACGAAGCTCTTAAGCTATTTCAAGTACCTTTCATTGTTATGTAATCCTTACTTTTTAAATTCAGATGTTCCAAGCTACTAAATCTGATGCCTTATGAGAGTATTTTGACTTCACACTTCTCTTTATCGAGCAAATTTGTAATCTCCTCAAAGCGGATTTATTTTACATGGTGGTGGTAATTTTTATTCAGCTGTGGGTAAAGTGGTAAGAGAGAGTGACATTGAGTCAACAGTGCCATATTTTTATTTTGCTAATTGAGTAATGACTAATTTAGAAAAAGGAAATGAGAATTCTTTAAGCCAAAAGAATGAGAAAGGAAATGAAAATTATCAATGCAACACTGCCAATACTCATTTATGCTTCCCTCATTAGTCTAAAAATAAAGATGTGAAAAATGGGGTTACCAAAGTTCTAGCATATCCTGAATGACTGACATGTGCCATACAGGCAAAAGGAAGGGTGTTATGCCCAAAGATTAAATTAAATGGGAGCCTGCTTAGGGGAAAAACTCTGCTAGAGGAAATAGCAAATGATTCAGAGCCAAAATTGGATGATTTGGGGATTGAGCTGAGGACAAGACCCATGTGAGAGACAGGAGGACAGCAGTGGTGGGATGCCTGAACAGCAGGGAAGAAGGTGGTGACTCACTGGAAGCAATGTGGCTCCCAGGACAGAGCCCAGTGCCTCAGTCAGCACTGGAGGTGGCTTTAGTGCTGGCTCAGCTCTGGAGCTGGCTGAAGCAGCTCCCAGTGCAGCCTGGAGAGCATTGGGTTCATGCTGTCATAAGCATCAGAGGGATTTGAAAACTTTATTTCAAACACTGTGCTTCTCACAGTAGGTGTTTTGGAGACGCAGAGGTGGAAAGTAGCTGAAAGAGCAAAGACATGAAAGTTTTTTAATTGAAGAAATAGAGCTTTCTGTGTACGGTCTATGTTGGAGCTGCCTGTTGTGCAACAAAATTTACATTTGTCATGTTGAAGTAATGCAGATAAAAGTTAAGAATTCAGACTCACAGGTTTCTATTTTGTCACCGGGAAATTCTCAAGGGAAATCAGGGAGGAATTAGTGGTATTATCCAGTCAGCTAATGGAATTCAGGTGTAGAAATTTAAAATACAATTAAATAGGTATATATTGTAATGTTATTTTAAATTCAGGAACTAAAAGGTGTTTTATTTCAGGTCTAAAATTTATAGAATATATGTCTAACTTAGGGCGAGAGTATAAAGATATGACTTAGGCACCATTTTGACTAGAAAAGCAAAGGAAGTGCAAAGGGTAGGAAAGTATAGAAAGATGTTTGTGGTTGGGAATGTGAGGCTATAAACCAGCCTATGCACAGGCGAAGTACCTCTGAAGAGAAGACCTGTCCATCAGGTGGAAAATGCAGGTTGGTTGCTGACAGTAGAAGGCACAACTGAAATAGGGAAACAAACTGTGGGAATGAGACTGATTCTGAATGGGTAGCAGATTTGAACAAAAATGCAGAAGGCTAATCTGTCAACTTTTTGACAGCTGAGTTTGCTTGTCAGGTGTCCAGTGCTGTCAATAGCCAGCTCTACTTCTCAGATGGTGCATTTAGTAATAGTAATATTGAGGAGATATAATATTGTGGTCCATCCAGGGTGGGAGCCACCACTACCATATATCCTCTCTAATGGTCCAGTATATTTTAAAATTAAGTTCACACCTTAGATAAAGCAATAAAATGCATAAGATGTAGCAGATGGAAAGGAGCTGTGTGAGAAGGATCAGACTAGTCTAAGTACAATACTGAAGGAGGTGCAAGGAAAATCGAAAAAGCCTAATCTCTTAAAAATATTTTCAGGGTTGATTTAACTACAGAGAATGAATGAGAGCTTGTGGTATAGATGAGCTTATGAAAGCAAGGTGGAAGCGAAGCATGCAGAGAGGAACCTTACAGTGAAAAGAGAAGATAAATGATAATTAAGTGATAATATTGAAAATTTCCAGAGAAATAAATAAAGGATTAGTCTGAAGATTCCTCACAGCCCTGCCTCATAGCTCAGTTTAGACTTTTATTTAAAATGATCTCTATGAAGCATGCAGTGGTGCCATGGCCTTCTAATTCATTTTCTTTAGTCAAACATTCTCAGGTTGGTACTTTAAGCTCCTGGAGTTGAATATTGAGCATGGAGGTTTATACTGCTGTAAGAAAGGCTTGTCAAAATTCTGTAGTTCAGCATAAACTTTTAAGACCTTTTCTTTCCCTAACTGTAGTGTTGTTTGCAATAAGAAACAGATTATCACTTGGTGATTCAAGACTCTGAATGATGGCTTTTACATGATCTGAAGAATGCTAGTTTTAACAAAGTAAAGGAAGAAAAAGATTAGCAGTAAATTGAAAATGGATGAGATCTAAGTTCTAGTTCTGTGTCATTGTCATAGCTTTGTAAGCAAGGTACCCCTTTTGAGTAAGGTATTGTTGTATAAAGAG